AGTTGCTCAATTACGTGGCCAGCAGCAATCGCGGTATTCGCCACTGAAGCAATCGCGGTCAGCCGATATCTACATGGTGATCACACGAATCCATCAGCATCATATCAGCACTTACTTTACTTATATAGGTACTTCCTGCGGAGCCAACAAATTGGCACGCGAGATTTCCACATGGCAATTCTTCTTAAATGATCATAGAGAATTCCCGGAGATTATAGAGATTCTTTACAATCCTATTAAATATAACAAAAAGAAATTTCGTGATACGTCTGTTAATTAAAATTAAATTTACGAACAATGTCTTTTTATAAATACATTTTACAGTTTTATATAATGTTTTTGTCTGAGAATGAGTATCGTCCGAAATAAAATCTTGCTAGAATTATAATTTTGTAATCTATTCTTCCGAGTAATCCTTATACTTTTCCGTGACTCGCCAAATTTAATGAAAATTAGTACATTTGTAAAGTAGTCAAAAATAATTGACACAATATTTTTTTATATCGGCAATGATGCAGGTTTAAAAGTGTAAACTACTTATAGTGATAAGCACGAGTACTTAATTTGCATTTTAGCTTGTATTAGGTGCTACTCACTTACATTATCTTGCTCTTTTCTGGACCCAGGAATTATAACCAACGAAGAAGTGGCGAGAGTCTATCCCCATTTAGTTTTTTTTTATTTTTGTTTTTTATTATTTTTATAATTTTTTTACATTTTTTACAAATTTTTTTTATTTTCTTTACAATTATTATACATTATTACTTTACTCCTCATCTATATCCATCTTTTCCATTTTATTGTACCTACTTTTTTAAAAATAGAAATAATAAAAAGAAATTTATGCACAAGAATTGTGCACTTCAAGCACACTATATTACTGCTACATTATTACATAAGATAGATTTACAATTTTTGAAACAATTATTTATGAGATTATCAAAATCAAGTAGTTTCTCTTGCAAATATTTAGTTATCTTCTCAATGTATAAATTTTTTAAATATTTATGGCACAATTAAAAGTGTGTATTTGCAAGAGAAATCGCTTGATTTTAATAATCTCTAATAGATCAATAATTTCAAAAATTGTGAAACTTATAATACTTGCGTATTATGTAATAATGTTGCAATAATAAAGAGCGATATATAAGTGGTGTGCAAAATCTTTATGCATACAACTTTTTTTTTAAATATCATTTCTGCAAAGAGTACGTACAATAAAATGAAAAAATAGACATAGTTGAGAAATGACGTAGTTGTAAAAAAAATAAGAAAAATTTATAAAAAATGCAAAAAAATTATAAAAATAAAATATAAAAAAATAATCAAAAACTAAATGACGATAGATGCTCACCGTCTCTTCGTCGGTTATTCCTGAGTTCGGCAAAAAACAAGATAATGTAAGTAAATAAGTACCTCTAATGGAATTAGTTAAAATGCACAAAATTAAGTACTCGAATCGTGTTTGTCATTATAAGAAGTTTGCATCTTTAAACTTGCACCATTGCCGATATAAAAAAAAGTACGTGTCAATTATTTATGATTCTACAAATGTACCAAATTTCATTAAATTCGGCGAGTCACAGAAAGATAGGATTACTTGTAAGAAACCGTGTAAGTGAATAACTGCACAAATAAAGTTGATAGTGCCTTCTATGGCTGCGTTTCTCTTGGCGCTTACAGCCCTTATAAGCATCATTTGTCTTTGTTTAATATTTGATAAACAACAAGGATGAAATAATTTTGTGAACGCTGTAACCAGCGGTAAGCGCCAAACGGAACGCAGCCTATGTCACGACCGGATCTTAGTGCATAATTCTATATAAATTCAAAATAATATATACTATATCAGACTCTTCAATTTAAAACAATAATTCATAGAAATTGGCATTAAGAGTCAACACGCAGAACTTATTGCGTAAAATTTTAATAAAAATTATATTCCAAGGTTGGCGGTTTACATCTTCAAATTTCTTACGCATCTCTCGCGCGTTTTGGACTCCTTCAGGCTTTCTTTAGTGATGAAAAACATAATAAAATTACACTAGATTCAAAATTATTCCGCTTTTAAACGTCACAATGTTCCGCAATGTTTGAGATGGGCCTTCAATTTCAAGATTGAACGCGAAAGTCATCTATGTGAATTGAATAACAATATTGTAAACTAAGTGTCAATCCACAATAAGGACTTAAAGCTTTACGCCGTAAGAAATAGACCAATTACAATCAATTATTCTTTTCATATTTGACTACGATGGTCTATTTCTTACTGCTTAGGGCTTGAAATCCTTATTGTGGACCGACACTAATAGTCCGGGAGGCAGCTGGCTTTTTTTTTCACTCATTTCACCAAACATACTTTATGAATTTTTTCGTTATATTGAAGTAGACGATAGATCGGAAGAGCACACG